ACTGCACCGAGCCGCTTTATTTATTTATTTATTTATTTTGGCAGAGCATTTTTAACCTTTTAAGTAGTAACGCACCAAAGACAAATGAGAACCACTTATTTAGTACCGGTGTAGTCAGCTTAAGTTACCAACCTAGTGATAAGAACTCCTAAATAAAATGCTCCTGCATAATTTAAATATTTATGGTGAACAAATGCTGAGTATCTGGTATTGCAATCAGCTCTGTTATACTGACGTGAGGGATGTAGAAGCAAATCAAGAATAAAATTAATTCTTTCCTTAAAACAGTCTATAGGCCAAGTGCATTAGCTCATGCCTGTAATCACAGCACTTTGGGAGGCCAACACTGGAGGAGTATTTAAAATGAAATAATTGCCTGACCCTTAAAACCACTTGGTATAGTTGGAAGAGCAGCAATTATGCCTCTTTTACAGATAAGGAATCTAAGAATCAGAAAGGCAAAGTAACCTGCCTCTCTACATTGCTGTCAACCAGGACTGTGTTTAATTTTCAGACCCTTAAATCCAGGGCTCTTTCTACCACACTGTACTATTCCCCAACATCACTAAAAAAAAGGCCATTCTTCTCACTATACCGTATGGCATGTCATTCTCACCTTTCCATGCCTCATCACAAATTCTGTCTCCCCCATCTCCACCCCGTGAATTCCCTTCACAAACAGTAGATCTCTCTAATCTGCAGTTTTGCTTTTCAAGGTTTCAGTTACCCATGGTCAACTACAGTCTGGAAATATCACCTACAATAAGATATCTTGAGAGAGAGAGAGACACCACTTCATATAACTTTTATTATAGTATATTGTTATATTTGTTCTATCTTATTAATAGCTATTGTATTAACACAATATGGAATGTATCTGCCACACATAAAGAGGGACTACTGTATGCAAACTCAGTCCTCCACTGGGATTTCACTTCCTCTTATAGCTCTCCTAGATTATTCCAGTTCACACTGTAAAAGTGATTATATGTCATACCCAACTAAATCAGAGCTGAGGAGCTGAGGGAAAACTCATTCAGGGTGAATAGCACAGTTTTACCTAGCAGCTGCTGAAACAACCTGCTGTGACTATCAAAATAGTTTGCCAGTTCCCAAATGCTTCTCTAGTGCCAATGAAGGTTCTTGCAAAGCAATACGTAATATTGTTCTTTCTAATAAAATCCCCAACCTTCTCTTTGTTCCTCAGACCACCCCGATCTGTATGTATACCCCAAGTGGCAATTTTGTTATTCCCAAACAAAGTGTTTAATTTATCTCTTTATTTTATTTTGTCTTCAACAACACACTCTTGATTCCTTCCCCAAACACCCTCCAAACTTGGTACTTTAGAATTTAATTAAGCTGCTAGCATAGATTAGTTTGGCTAGTGGCCAACCTAACTAATGCCTTAAGAACAGTAACTGTGACTTCCAAAACTTTTATTTACCTCACTGTCTTTACATACATTAGAAAGGAGTTGTCCAAAAAATATTTTTATGTATTAAATGTTATGTTAATGGTTCAAATGTTTCCTTAATGGCAGTCCCTTGAGTCACCAAGGCCTCTCTAATGAATGCCTTCTATTCACACACCTGATACCACCTCTAGTCATTTAATTTGCTGCAGTGGCTGCCATATTCTATCCCTGTCCTACCCTGAAGTAACCTACTTTGGGTAGATTTAATGCAATCCTTATCAAAATCCCAATGGCATCTTTCACAGAAATAGAAAGTCCATTCTAAAATTTATATGGAATGTCCCAAATTGCCAAAACAATATTTAAAAAGAACAACAAAGCTGGAGATCTCACATTCCTGATTTCAAAACTTATTATTACATAAGCCACAGTAATCAAAACACTGTGGTAATAGCATAAAGACAGAGACATATAGACCAATGGAATACAACACAGCTCCAAGAATAAATCCTGGTATATATGATCCTTTTTTTTTTTTTTTTTTGGAGACACGGTCTCACTCTGTTGCCTAGGCTGGAGTGCAGTGGCACAATCACAGCTTGCTGCAGCCTCAACCTCCCACGCTCAGGTGATTCTCCCATCTTGGCCTCCCAAGGTGTTAGGATTACAGGTGTGAGCCACTGCACCCAACCTTGTGAATCTTCTTTAGTAGGGTATGTGTTCAAGTCTTTTGCCTGTATTTTAATCAGGCTATTTGTCTTCTTATTGTTGAGTTTTAAGAGTTATTTTGTATATTTTGGGTAACAGTCCTTTATTAGATATTTCTTTTGCAAATATTTTCTCCCAGTATGTAGTCTATCTTATTCTCTTGACTTTCTTCACTTTAAAATCAGGTTGTTTTTTGTTATTGAATGGTAGGATTTCCTTATGTATTCTGGATATTGGCCCCTTATAGGATATATGATTTGCAAATATTTTCACCCATTTTATAGGCCTTTTCACTCTGTTGTGTTCTTTGATAAACAGAAGTCTTAAATTTCAAACGTACCACTCTGGTACAGAATGTTATTAGTGCAGGAGGCTTGGGGAAAAGCAGAAAGGGTACATAAGAACTCTGTTCCTTCTGCTAAATTTTGCTATGAACCTAAAATTGCTTTAAAAAAATTTATTGGGCAAAGGACTTGAATAACATTTCTCTAAGGAAAATGCATAAATGCCCCACAAGCATATTTTTAAAATGTGCAACATCATTAAATCATTAGAGAAATGCAAATCAAAACCAAAGGGACATATCACCTCACACTCATCTGATGGCTACTTTCATTTTAAAAAAGAAAGAAAAGAACAGAATGTGTTGGCAAAGATGTAGAAAAAGGTGAACCCTTGTGCACTGTTGCTGAGAATGTAAAATGATGTAGCCCCCATCAAAAACAGTATGGCAGTTCCTTAAATAATTAAAAATAGAACTACCACACAATCCAGCGATTCCACTTCTGGGTATATATTCAAAAGAATTAAAGCAGAGTCTTGAAGAGGTATGTGCACACCTATATTCACGACAACACTATTCAAAACAGTCAAGAGGTAGAAGCAACACAAATATCCATCAATGGATGAATAAACAAACTTTGGTATATACATACAAAGTAATATTATTGTCTTAAAAAGAAAATTGTGCAGCCAGGTGCAGTGGCTCATGCCTGTAATCCCAGCACTTTGTGAGGCTGAGGTGGGAGGATCGCTTGAGTCCAGGAGTTCAAGATTGGCCTGGCCAACATGGAGAAACCCGCCTCTACCAAAAATACAAAACAATTAGCCAGGCATGGTGACCTGCGTTAGTAATGCCAACTACTTGGGAGACTGAAGTGGGAGGATCACCTGAGCCCAGAAGGTAGAGGCTGCAGTGAGCAGTGATCTCGCCACTGCACTCCAGCCTGGGTGGCAAAGTGAGACCCTGTCTCAAAAAAAAAAAAAGGAAATTCTAACATATGCCACAACATGGATGTATTTGAAGACATTATGATAATTGAAATAAGCCAATCACAAAAAAACAAATACTGATCGTATCAGAGAAGCCAAATTTACAAAGGGAGAAAGTGAAATGGTGGTTCCAGGGACTAGGGGAAGGAAGCAATGGAGAGTTAATAGGTACAGAGTTTCAGTTTTGCAAGATTAAAAAGTTATGGATATTCGATGGTGTATAAGTTTAGTCTAAAGTTATCCCTTTAAGTTCGGCCTAGGGGTTCTCGGTATATAGTGAACTATAACCTAACTGAATGTGTAAACAAGCTGTAACCTACGCTTGAACCAATCACTGAGTTTCAGCCAACCAAAGACGGCCAAGTGTTCAAACCATGTTCAAATAGGGCAAAAGCCAGGCTGTAACCAATCAACTGTTTCTGTACCTCACTTCCATTTTCTGTACATCACTTTACTTTCTCTCTCCATAAATTTTCTCCCACCAAGGGGCAGCACTGGTCACTCTGAACCTATTCTGGTTCCGGGACCTGCCCAATTCACAAATCATTCTGTGCTTAAACTCCGTTAGATTTAATGTGTCTAAAGCTTTTCTTTTAACAGTGCACAACCATGTGAATAACTTAACACTACTGAACTGTACACTTAAAAATAGTTAAGATGGTAAATTTTATGTTACCTGTATTTTACCACAATTTTTTTTTAAAAAGCTGAATTCACTTGCCAAAATAATTTCAAAATTCAATTCCAAAAATATAAATGCTAGGCACCAAGATTCTTGGTGCATCAGAACTATCTTCATCCTTCCTTTTCCAGAACAAGTTCTAGGCACCAAGATTCTTAGCACATCAGAACTATCTTCATCTTTCCTTTTCCAGAACAAGTTCCAGCTGCCTAGACAGGCTGAAAGTCTGGGGCAGTTTCGGTGATCAAATGGCCAAACTAGAGCAGACAATGGCTTCCACGTAGATGAAGCTAAGGATTTTAAATTCAAAAATTTCTGCCCATTGGCTACTACGTAATAACTTAAAACATTGATACTGACTTAGGAAGCTTCTGTGTTCAGCAACTTCCTCAATAATACTCAGAAAGACCTGTTGCATTCTGGGCCCTGCGGACAGGAAATAGTGCCGTCAGGGAGCCTACAGCCTAGCATAGGACGGTAAATATAAACATGTAACGCGGCACCCCACAGAACAAAAGCATTAGGCCGCTGATTCCACTCGTGTTACGTCACAGTGATCAACTGACTCATTTCCATCACGTTTCTTTTCACTTCAAGATGCCAAATTAAGGCTGCGGCGGTTTCCATCCGTCCCCTCCTACACCGCGGCGCCCGCTGGGGATCCGAGGCGCACAGAGGGGAGCTGCAAGTCTTCTGGGCCTGGGCCCTCCTACACCCGCTAGGAGGGGAGGGAGCGCCTCTCCCGACTCCCGGAGGAGGGCGCCAGTCCTCCGGTTCCCGGAGAAAGAGGGCAGGGAGCTCAGCCCTCTTTCTCCTGAGTCCCGGGAGACGGCCGCTGTCCCTCTGAAGCCGGAAGTCGGCTTCTAAAGACCGAGCATTGCGGACAAGCGGCTGGGAGGCACTGGAGAGGGGACAACGTACCCATTCGGATGTGCACGCTGGCGGAGGCCACGCTGCTGCCATAGTTGAAGTCGTCCTCGATCGAGGAGCAAGGGTACCGGGAGTCGGGGTCAGCCATGACGGCAACAGCACCCCTACCCGCCCTGGCCGAGCAACCGCAACCGCCTCCTATCCTCTTCCGCGAAGAAGAGCCCAGCCCCAACAAGTCGAGCGGCGTCCGCGGGCGAATCCCGAGCGAGTCGATTTTCTCGCCTCAAAAATTCCAGCTGGGCGGAGAAAGCGGGGATGGCTCCGAGTTAGGATGGAAGAGAAAATGGTTTACATTCCCGGCGTCATCTGAAGTGAAACTTTTCTCAGATTGTTCTCAACAAACTTTTTAAGTCCTCTCACCTGGAGAGTTGCTAGTGATAGAACCCATGTCCCAGTCACCCATCCACTCAACAAATACCCATCTCATTCATCCACTCTTTCAATAATCACACCGAGGATGCGTTTTTACCATTATTTTAAAATAATAATATATATTTATTGGGCACTTTCTATAAACTAGGCTTTCTGAATGAAGTAATATTTAATCCTGAAAGGCAAGTAGGGGCCAACCAGAGAAAGAGCAGTAATGTAGGCTGGTCCTCAAGCGACCAACCTCTGCAAAGAGGGAGATGGTGAAGCTCAGCTGGTGTAGGGGACAAGTGGCAAAGAATGAGGCTGGAGAGATAGAGATAAGCAAAGGCCAGATCATCCTATGCCAGAAGTAGAATACATTGAAGAGGGCCGTGACCAAAGGCAGAGAAAAGGGGATAAAGTTTTATTACTCTTAAGAGAGAGATGATGGTGGCAAATACAATGAATTAGAGTGAGTATTCATGATATTGTTGTCATTCCAATATAAATAGGTGTAGACATACCCAGAGTAGTGTCATCCTAGGGTCCCTTGGAATTGTTTTGGTGAGTTTACTTTGAGCTACCCAAATTGCCCAGTCCTCACCTTAACCACAACACCCGAACACTTAGCAAGTGGAATTCAGAACAGTTGTGGAACAGTGTATTCTGAAACTAAATCCTTAAACTTGAAGTCCTCAGAAGGCTTTGCCAAAATAACTAACCTCACTTCCATAATGACAAGAAAAACAAAACAAAAATAAAACTTTATCTTTTATGATTTTACATTTTACAAGCACATCATTTTAATTTGTTTTTGTTGGTTTGTTTTGAGATAGAGTCTCAGTCTGTCACCCAGGCTGGAGTGCAGTGGCACTATCTAGGCTCACAGCAGCCTGGACCTCCTGAGGTCAGGTGACCACACCCGAGTAATTTTTTGTGTTTTTTGTAGTGACGGAATTTCCCCATGTTGCCCATACTGGTCTCGAACTTGGGCTCAGGTGATCCCCCCACCTCGGCCTCCCAAAGTGCTGAGATTATAGATATGAGCCACTGTGTCCAGCCCCTCATTTTAGTTTATTGAATGGATAGGTGAGTGGGATATGGCCTCTATCACTTTAGTCACTCTCCAGGTGAGAGGACTTAAAACGCTTGTTGAGAAAAATCTGAGATAAGTTTCACTTCAGATGACACTGGGAATGTAATCCGTTTTCTCTCCCATCCTAACCTGAAGCCATCCCCTCTTTCTCTGCCCTGCCATAATAATGGAATTTTTTTATAGAAGACAAACTGGAGCTACATTGGGAACTCACCTTTGTATTGACTAAAAACAGCATCAGCAAAGTTTGATCCTCTACCTCTTACCAATTACAAAAAAAATAAATTCCAGATAGATTGTGGATCTAAATGTGAAAGGCAAAACAATAAAACTTAAAAAAAATGATACAGGAGAATATGATTTGGAGGAAGGCAAAGGTTTCTGAAACCAGATACAAAATAGCACTTAACTTCAAAGGAAAAGATTGACAAATTAAATTATATTAAAATTAGGAATTTCTAGTAATCAAAATATACCATAAGAGAGTGAAAAGGAAGCCATAGAGTAGTGGAAGATATCTGCTATACATATAACCTACATAAGGCTTCTTTTCAGAATATGAAAACAATTGTTACAAATCCAGACCAAAAAAAGAGTCAATAGAAAAATAGACAAAAGATTGGAACAGGAACCTAACACACACACACACGCACACACACACATAGCCAAGTGGCTAATAAATATATGAAAGGTTGATCAGAGAAATGTAAATAAATGCCAAAATGAGATATCTCTAAGCACCCACCAAATGATTAAAATTAAGAGGTTGATAATATCAAGCGTTGGCAAGACTGGATTATCTAGAACTCAAATAAGAGCTGACTTAAAAGGTGTGCAACCTATGCTATTGCACAGAGCCCTGGACTCAGAAGGACCCTGCACTTGGTTTAATGCTCAGCTGTCACCATTTTGAAATACTTAATAATTTTGCCTTCGAACATGTGTTTGTAAGTGAAGTCTGAAAGTACAATGGAATATGAACATGAATAGAAGAGGTATGCACAATGTGGATGTCCACTGTTTCCTGCCAATCATTTGCATTTAATCATTTATCATGCCCCATGAGCACAGAATTCTGTTAGACCTGCAATGCATGGGAGTTAAGCTAGACTCAAAGCTAGTAAAAGATAAGCATGTCACACCTGCAACTTAGTAAAGGGAAGAGAAGAGAAGGCACTGACAGCCCCAAGAGGCCTAGCTTTCCTTACTGACAAGAACTTACTTTGAATGCAGAAGGAAAGCAATGCCTTTTCTTTTTTTTTTTTTTTTTTTTTTTTTTTTTGAGACGGAGTCCTGCTCTGTCACCGAGGCCGGAGTGCAGTGGCCAGATCTCAGCTCACTGCAAGCTGCGCCTCCCGGGTTGCCATTCTCCTGCCTCAGCCTCCCCAGTAGCTGGGACTACAGGCGCCCACCACCTCCCCTGGCTAGTTTTTTGTATTTTGTTAGTAGAGACGGGGTTTCACCGCGTTAGCCAGGATGGTCTCGATCTCCTGGCCTCGTGATCCACCCATCTCGGCCTCCCAAAGTGCTGGGATTATAGGCTTGAGCCACCATGCCCAGCCAGCAATGACGTTTTAAGAAACATGAATGACCAAGGAATCTTTGCACATCTTTTTTTTTCTTTTTCTTTTTTTTTCTGTAATACGGTCTTGTTCTGTCACCCAAGTTGGAGGGCAGTGGTGCAATCATAGCTCACTGCAGCCTCAAACTCCTGGGCTCAATGGCTCCCCCCATCTTAGCCTCCTACTACAGATGCATGCCACCATGCCCAACTCATTTTTTTTTTTTTTTTTTTTGAAACGGAGTTTCCCTCTTGTTGCCCAGACTGGAGTGGAATGGCGCAGGTCTCAGCTCACTGCGACCTCTGCCTCCTGGGTTCAAGTGATTCTACTGCCTCTGCCTCCCAAGTAGCTGGGATTACAGGCATCAACCACTACGCCCAGCTAACTTTTTTGTATTTTTTGTAGAGATGGGGTTTCACCATGTTGGCCAGGCGGTCTCAAGTTCCTGACCACAGGTGATCCGCCCACCTCGGCCTCCCAAATGCTGGGATTATAGACGTGAGCGACCGTGCCCTAATTTTTTAAATTTTTTGAGACAGTGTCTTTCTGTGTTTCCCAGGCTGGTCTTGAGCTCCTGGCCTCAAGCAATCCTCCAGCCTTGGCCTCCCAAAGCGCTGGGATTACAGGCTGTCACATTCTTTTTTTATCTTTTTTTTTTTTTTTGAGACAGAATCTCACTCTGTTGCCAGGCTGGAGTGCAGTGGCGCGATCTCAGCTCACTGCAACCTCCGCCTCCTGGGTTCAAGCGATTCCTCTGCCTCAGCCTCCCGAATAGCTGGGACTACAAGCACCCGCTACCATGCCCGGCTAATTTTTTTGTATTTTAGTAGAGACGGGGTTTCACCATATTGGCCAGGATGGTCTCGATCTCCTGACCTCGTTATCCACCCGCCTCGGCTCCCAAAGTGCTGGGATTACAGGCGTGAGCCACCGCACCCGGCCCACATCACTTTTTACTTGTGTGCTTTCCCTGTAAATGTCAACCGCTTACACTCAAAATGAAGACACAGAAGGAAAAGGAAAAATATGGCAATCATAGTTCCTTTTCTTTTCAGGCTATCCTTTGCAATAAGCTAAAGTTAGAGAGTGTTGCTATAGTTTGCATGTATCAGGAAGTGAAATAAAAATAATTGATTTAGTTTTGTGTGACTTTTCCACAGTTCTTATAAGAATGAAATAAATACGTACAAGCCATGAAACACAAATTGTGTCATTTTGGTGATTCCACATATGCATTAACCCCCCTTTTAAATTTGTATTTAAAACTAGCATTGCAAAATATAAAGATCAATGGCAAAATTTGTGCTAATAATTTTAAATGATTTTTTATTTACTACATTAAATAGAAAGTAAAAAGCATCATGTCAAGTCAAGAGATTGCAAAAGAAATGAAAAAGCTTTATATTTAAGTATCTTTAATAGGGCTTTTTCCTGCTTTTTAAACAAGAGGTCCAACATTTTTACTTCTTGCTGAGCCCGACAAATTATGCAGATGAAGCAATTCCTTTGGAAAATTGGCAGTATCTACCAAAGTTGAACATACACTGCAAGTTCTATGACTTGGCAGTTCTACTCCTAAATAAAGTATATGTTCAACAGAAATGCATGCACATGTTTACAAAAGACATAACCAAGAATATACATAGCCAAGTTATTCTTAATAGCCAAAAACTAGAAACAACTCAAATTGTCCACTATTGGAAAAAATGAATAAATTATAGTATATTCATATAATCACATACCCTATATAATTAAAATGAACAAATTGACATGTTCATGGGATGTAGCTTACAAACATAGTGCTAAGCAAAAGAAATCAAATGTAAAGAATATATAGAATAACATAAAGAATAATGTAAAGCTGAAAAGCAAACAAAAGTAATCTGTGGTCTTACACATCAGGAAATTGTTTATCTTTGGGGAGGAGGAAGGGATAATCATAGGGAGAAGGAACTTAGAAGGAATTCCAGGATTCCAGTAATGTTCTGTTTCCTGGCTGATTACATATGTTCACTTATTGATAATGAGGCAAGCTATTTATACTTAGGATTTGTGTGTATTTTATACTTAAATTTGTATATTATACTTAAATTTTAAAAATTGTCATAGAAAAGTGAAAAATTATTTGCTCCCTCTCAGTTTAGATAAGAAAGCTATCTTATGACAATAAAGCATTTACTTATAGACATGAAATC